AATAAACATCACCGTTAGAAATGTTCTTAGTCTGTATATATATATATTTTACTTTAAAATAACAACATTTCTATTATTATTTATAAATAATTATCTAATAAACTATTGATTTGACGTATCAAGAACTTAGTTGAAGGGGATAATCTCTGCCAAAATGTTTTGATTACGCCGGTACAAACTCCACGTGGCATCCCCTAAACCCCAGAAATACCCTGTGTTGAAAGTCAAGACTAATGTCAGTTAAAAATTTTATGTGATGTCTATTGTTTTGCAGTGAGGTGTACGCATGTGATCATAACTTCTTCTTCTAGATAAGAGTTGACCTATTCCCACCCAAAAAATGACCGACTGATAATTCATACCCACCCATTTTTTTAAAACTCTTTTACCACCCAAATATTATGTTTTGGGTGGGAAATACAATGATTTACAAAAATATCCTTAGCCTCTTCCATTGCCGGCTGGGAGCTGGGTGCTGCAATAAATCGAGCAGGTGGTGTGCGACTTTGGAGCAGCGAGGTTGGAGTGATCTAGGAGAGAACAATGGCCAGAAAATACACAACACCAAAAACACTAATGATTTGCGGAGGAAACCACCACAAATTGTGGCTATCCCATGGTGGAAAGAGCTGGACATAGGTGAAAAATGGCGTGCACGAAGGCTTGGAGGAGGGGTGGGTTTTGAAGAGCAGAGGGTAGGAAGTCAAACGGTGGTGGTAGGGGGCATTTTGGCTGACCAAATAGGCCAAAAAGATGGCAAATCGCGCAAAAACTTAGGCGGCAATTTCCTGCGATTGGCAGGTGTATTGATCTCGGGGTGAATGAATTAAAGGTGAGAGAGGCTCGAGGAAAATGGTGGATTTCTAACATCGGAAATGATCGAAAATCCAGCTGCCGTGTGAATGGAGGTGGTGGTGGGAAGTGGTGAGTGATGACGGCAAATGGAGGCTTGGGCTTTGTAGAGAAAGTGATGAAGATTTTGTGGGTGGTCTTGGAAGTGATTTTGGAAACCGAGATCTGCTAGAAAACGGAAAAAACTGTCGGTCATCTCCTTGCTAACGTGCGCCTGCCCTTTATTTTCTCTTCTCTGGCGGTCAAATATTTGTTGACCATTCTACCCTTACTAATAATATTTTTGACCATTTTACCCTTCCCCACAATAAAATTTACTAGCCTTTAGGTACAAAAAAAAGTATTTAAAAAGTTGGTGGGTATGAATTGTCAGTCGGCCCCAGTCCTTAACTTTTCTAGATAAATACAAAAATGGTCTGATGAGAACCGTTTAAATTGTCTTGCGTCACTGTGAATTGACGTGTGGTTATATGAAAAACGAGAAAAACGATGTACGAGATTTTTATTGTATATAATGATATGAGAAATTGAGAGACGATAAAATAATATACGATAAAGACTTTTTTTTTTTTTTTCTAAGTATTTAACAGGCCCTCTACTTTATCCATTTAATAAACGTATGTCACACGCCTATAAACTAAGTTTTAAAAAAAAAAAAAAGGTATACTGTTTCCACTCGCCACGTGTATGTAAAAGTGATACTCGCGGCACATGTGACTTCCGTGTCCATTAGGAAAATTTTGAATTGACTGTACGTGGGGTTTTTCAGCCGTTAACATAAAAGTCAGTTAGAAATTTCCTTATTTTGTAATTGTACAAAGCCATCATTCATAATTAATGTATCATCTACTTAACAAATTTACGTATTCATCATTAATGAGTTAATTTACACGTGTTTATTCTAATACAGCTTCTTCCCTTTTAAGGTTCTTATGATAAGATAGATAAAAATGTTTGGTTAAGAAATAAAAAATACAAATATTTTTAATTTGTAAAAAAGGAAATAATAATTAGGTAAGTAACATTACTTTATCGTCTTTTTCTTATTTAAATTGTACCCATAAGTGTTATCATACCTTTTAAATAATCAAATTACTCATTAAATAAATAAAATATTTAGATTTATTTATTTTTCTAGTTTTTTTTTTTTTTTTTTTTTTTGTTTATGATGCAGGTATCTGAGTCAGTTTGTGTATATCACAATAATTCCCAAAGGTTTTAAAGTAAACGACCGGGTAAATTCTTTAGTAGTCCTTATTAGTACTTGAGGGAACTCAAACTCAGGAATTCATGTGTGAACCGTTGTTTTTTACTATCAAAACACTCAATGTGGTTTGTTTTCTCTTCTTATTATGCACTTTTCACACATTATAATTTCATATTTAGAGACATAAGAAATACGTGTTTCTAAACCCAAATGGTTTGCTTGACGTAAAGAGGTTTGCTCCATTTTTTAAATTCCTAAGTTCAAACATTGGGGTCACCTACTATAATAATATGTGGCTTACCTGGTCATTTGAGCTATAAGGTGTTCAATGACTCCGATCATTAGTTGAGGTGCACGTAAGCGGACTCGAACACTCGGTCAATAAAAAAAAAAAAGGTATTTTCTTGGTTAAACATTTTATCAACTAGAAATATATAATTAGATTCACTTTCATTTAGGATAAATTGAGTACCAATTGAATTTGTTTTACGAAATAATAACACAAAGAACAAGAGCGTGAGTGTGTAGCTTGCTAAAAGACACCACCTAAATGTAGTATTCGATTCAATCACATTTTTTTTTTAATCATGTTATTTTAGTGCATAATATAAATTTGTGAATGTGATTTAACTCAATTTGTTTCCATTAACTAATGAGAGGTCCACGTTGCTCAGTAGCTGGCCAACCTCAGCTTTAACTACGCCACCCACATCCAATTCCTTCCAAATATTAAAATCAATTAATTTACATTTATAAAATTAATTTGATTGTTTGCTCATATTTGGCATTCCTTTTTTCAATATTAATGTTGGTCGAGGCTTTTTCATTTAAATTTTGACTTAGTATATTGGTGTGCCAAACCCAAAACTCCATATTAATTTGTCTTTATATATCAACCAATAACTGTTACTTGCTTCTGCCCTACCCTACCAAAATGGTAATTTTACTGCCAGTCATAATTAATTAATTAATTATATTAATAATAATTCAGATTCTGTCAGAGCCCATATTATAACAAATCCCTATAATTATTTCCAACTATTAACCAATAATAGTGTTAAAGTTTACCTTTAACACGTGTATGCAATGCCAATAAGTACAAATTTCTGATCACATTAATACGTGTCTCATTAAGTGCAAATCTTAATATTTCTCATTTAATTATTCTAATTATCTAATTTGATCTCTAACTCTCGTTTGTATTTGGATCTTTATGTATTTATAATTATACAATATTGTTTAAAATTAAAATAAATAAATTATCATGAGTGTATTATTGTTTTTATATATTTTAAGACCAATTTGATGAGAGGAATATAAACGTATCATGGTATTTATATGAAAATTATTTGATCTTCATCGTATCATTTTAATATTTTTATGATACATTAAGAATGAGTAATGCTAGGTTTATAACTCAATTTTACAACCTTTGACGTGACAGCTCATAATTGCTTAGTTTGTAAATGGGTCTCGCCTGCTTGTTATAGGTTCCGCTTGCCCATTTGAACTGTAATACATGGTTTTGAAACCCGGCCTGACCCGACTAGTTCAACTGGTTGAACCAGAAACCCAGTGATCGAGCTCAGTCGGTTCGATTAAAAAACTAGGATTTTTAAATGACCTATTTTGAATTGCGGTTGGACCAGATTTTTTTGTTACGAACTGTCGATTCAATTAGTTTGACCTGGCTGTTCAACCCTTTTTTTATTATTTTATTATATGTCATTTTGATGTCAAAATGACATCATCATGATGACATCATGGTTCCACTGGCCAATCCAGTAACCTAAATGGGTCACTCCCCTGGTCAGGTTTTAAAACCTTGCTATAATGTTCATTACTGCATTAGGAATAGATAACATTGGGTGTGTTTGGTTCAATATTTCTACCTCTATTCCCAATCCTATTCCCTAAATATTGTTTGGCACATTATTTGAGAAATATTAGTGTATTTTTTTAATCACTGTTAGACACCTTAAGTTTATTAATTTCATTAAATACCCCCAGAAAAAGTTTAAAAATTAGCAAAAACACCCCCATCCACCTATGCTTACTAGATTCCGGTAACCATAGTCGGTGCTAGTCAGAATTTATCACAACGGCCTACAAGACAACCGAAAATAGTCGATTATTCACCAATCTGGTCGTCAACGATGGCCAAAGATATGGCTGTCGTTGTCTTTACGGTAGTCGACGGCCACATCTGGTCGTAGATCTGGCATTTTCTGGCCAGATCTGTGGTGGATCTGACCGGAAAAGGCCATATCGATGCGTTACAACACTGATTTCGGGTACCACCGTCAGAATCTGGCACTGTAGGTGGTGGGGGTGTTTTTGTCATTTTACACAATTTTTATATATTGAGGTGTTTAATTAAATTAGCAAACCTAAGGGGTTTTTTAGAAATTTTTAAATTTTACCTCGTAATACTCCTCTATTGAACTACCCAATATTATTCTCAAAATCCTATCCAAAATAATAAACCAAACGCACCCATTACTTTTACTATAATGTTCATTTTATTAGTTTAAATAATTTTAGGTATATAAGTTGTAAAACTAATTTTTTGAAAAGAGAATAAAAAGCAGTTGGTAAATTTAACACAATTGAACTAAAGTGTGTGAATGACCAAGAAATGAACAGCTAATGAGGGTTTATTTTTCTTATAATAGGAAAATTAAATTAATTATACATCGGAATGCCCGCAAATTTACAGCTGAATATAAGTCCAAATCAACGGTATTAAAACACTTATAAGCACCTGTGCGTATCAGTCTACACTGAAGAGCACTTATCATCTGAATAAGCACATCTACTTATCAGTGGACTTAAAATAGCAATTTATCAAATCTCATCTCATATCGCTCACGGTATTTAATTGGTCTGATACCTTTATTTCTTCGCTCACACATCTCTCTTTCTTCTTCAAATCCCTAGCCTTTTCTCTCTATAAATACTTACCAGAAGCGGAACTAAGAAAGAGAAAAGAAAAGAAAAGAAACGAAACGAAAGAAAAAACTGGAGAGAGAAATCACTGAAACGACCTCCCCCTGTATTTGCTCTCGTCAAAATTCTCCGATCTATCAATATTTTACAGGTACTAAAATGAACCTTCACTTCTCATTCTATTTCTCTTCTAACAATTTTTCTCTTTCAGGTTTTGACTGAAATTTTGAATTTCCTGTTGAATTCTTTTCACTCAAACTTCAATTATTGTTTGTTTGATGTGTGACGATACGGATTGTCGTTTTCCAACTATTGATCTGTGAGGATTGGATCTCTGTTATGTTTATGCAGATACACAATTATGTCTTCGCTTAGCAGAGAACTCGTGTTTCTCATACTTCAGTTTCTTGATGAAGAGAAATTCAAAGAGACTGTTCACAGGTACGCTGCCAGTTCTTTACTTTTTTTTTTTTTTTTTCTTACAATTCTTAATTGTTAATAAACATGTGGACATGTATATTTGCTGAATTTGTGTCATTTACGTAACATATATATTTTTTATATACCAAGTTCTGTGAGGTTGTGTTAAGGGTTAATTGATGTATGGTAATTAATTTAGATTGGAGCAAGAGTCAGGTTTTTTCTTCAACATGAGGTATTTTGAAGACATGGTGACAAATGGAGAGTGGGATGAGGTCGAGAAGTATCTCTCTGGGTTCACAAAGGTGGATGATAATAGATATTCCATGAAGATTTTCTTTGAGATTCGAAAACAGAAGTACCTTGAAGCTTTAGACAAGTAGGTCTTCTCAAGTGCATTATTGAGTTCACTTTTATATTCTCTTTGCATTTTTTCGGTTTTACTGATTTGTTTGTTATAACTTTGGAGTGTGTTTAAAGTTCTTTAATGCCTTCTTCTTGACAAAAAATTAATTTAGGTGTGATCGTGCTAAAGGTGTGGATATATTAGTTAAAGATTTGAAAGTTTTTGCTGCATTTAATGAAGAGCTTTTCAAGGAGATCACACAGCTGTTGACACTGGAAAACTTTAGGTATATATTTGATATATCTTTAAGAATTTGTGCTTAACTATTTTCCATTGCTTAGTATGTCTTCTTTGTTTGTGTCTTATCATATCTCTTATATGATAAATTTGATTGTGATCTTACTTGCAGAGATAATGAACAGCTCTCTAAATATGGAGATACCAAGTCTGCTAGGGGTATAATGCTAGCTGAACTGAAAAAGTTGATAGAGGCTAATCCGCTTTTCCGTGATAAGCTTCAATTTCCTACCTTGAAGAATTCAAGGCTACGGACACTAATTAATCAAAGGTCCTCAAGAAGTTCATTTTTTTTCTTGTGTGTCAGACTTTATGCTTTTGTTTATTGCTTTTATTTGAAGATGTTCACTTTTATTAGTATTTGAATTGCAGTTTAAATTGGCAGCATCAGCTATGTAAGAATCCAAGGTCTAATCCTGACATAAAGACCCTATTTGTAGACCATAGTTGTGGACAGCCAAACGGTGCCCGGGCCCCGTCTCCTGTTACCAATCCTTTAATGGGTGCTGTTCCAAAGCCTGGAGGTTTTCCACCACTGAGTGCTCATGGTGTAAGTGAATTTTTTTGAAGGTTTTAGGTAATTGAGCTAACTTGGACTCTGACTGTCTGGAAATTTAACTTTAAATTGTATTCTTCCAGCCATTTCAGCCTACTCCTGCTGCTCTTCCGACTTCTCTTGCTGGATGGATGGCGAATCCATCCCCTGTCCCTCACCCCTCAGCTTCTGCAGGGCCTATAGGTTTGACTGCTCCTAATAATGCAGGTAGCTAGAGGAAAACTTATAGTAACAAGCAGCATTAAGCTATTTTAGTTTTTCCTGCTTAGTGCATTTGAAACTGTTCTAGTACTAAGACAAACATATAAAATATGTGGAAAATGTGATATGAAGTCTACTGTCATTATAAATATTAATGCATAAATAATAAATGAGGAAATATGTTAGTGTACCTATCCAAAGAGAGAAAATAAAACCAAGTAAATGATATATTATTGGGATCTTGAAACAAATCATTAAATCTTTATACAATGATTTACAATGAGTTGTTGGTTGGGTTCTCAATTTTCTTCTACAGCAAATTTTTGTGAGATATGCATGACAATACTATTACTCTCTTTATTAGTCATCTTATTTATATCATGTAAATTGATATTTTTACCCTTTATGTATAATAGCTGCCCTCTTAAAGCGGCCTAGGACTCCTAATAACCCAGGTATGGACTATCAAACAGCTGATTCTGAACATGTATTGAAGAGAACGAGGCCTTTTGGAATATCAGAGGAGGTAGGACCCATCAACTTTCTTATTCTTGAAATCTCAACTTTTGTTTTGATTACTGTTTTGATACTAGAGACAGAGTGTGAGGGAGGGAGGTGAGATGTAGATTTTGAGACTGGTGTTTTTGTGATTAAGGGTGTTGTTGGTGTTTCTTTGACACCTGAAATTCTTTTCTGCTGCTAATAATTTTATAATAATACTTGTGAAGTTGTATAAAGTTTACCTAATAGGTGCACTGTTTACATGATATATTTCACAGGTCAATAATCTGTCAGTAAATATACTCCCTGTTGCATACCCTAGCCAGAGTCACGGTCAGAGTTCTTACTCTACTGATGACTTGCCCAAGGCTGTTGTTATGACTCTAAGTCAGGGTTCAGCTGTCAAGAGCATGGATTTCCATCCGGTGCAACAAATTCTACTTCTTGGTAAGACCCCAGTGACTTAGAGAACAATATTGAATCTCTTATTAATATTATTATATTGAAAATCAGTTTGTTATTAGGTGATCGGTTGTAGATGTATTCCTCTTTATTTGTATGTGATTGAATAATTTCAGTTGGAACCAACATGGGTGATGTTATGTTGTGGGAGGTTGGTAGCCAGGAAAGGATTGCTGCAAAAAGTTTTAAGGTCTGGGATATTAAATCATGTTCAATGCCTTTTCAGGTGTGGTATTTATTTCTTAGCAAGATTTATTGGGCATGTAGTAATTATTTTTCTTTGATTTGAGAACAATCATCTGGTTCTGTTTTAGGCATCTTTCACCAATGATCTTACAGTTTCAGTTAACCGTGTGATGTGGAGTCCTGATGGAACTCTTTTTGGTATGTTTGAATGGCTTTTGGATTTTTGATGCTATCCACTTAACACTTAAAACTTTTGCCAGTGCACATGAGAAAATCTGGTGGCTTTCTTAAATAAGGTATTATTAAATATTAAAGAGGTTTGTTGATTTTGTTGTTGTTCCAGGTGTTGCATACTCCAAGCACATTGTGCATATATACTCGTACCATGGTGGGGATGATTTAAGAGATCACCTAGAGGTTTGTGTGACAGTTAATTTCATCCAAGTGCATTTTCCTAGCTAGCCTTAAAATATTATGCATCTCGTATGTATGGATCACTTTTTTACTTGAATGAAACTGTAGTATATAGAATCTGAAGATTGCCATGAATTTTTTGGATGTTAGATTGATGCTCACAACGGCAGTGTTAATGATCTTGCTTTCTCATATCCAAACAAACAATTGTGTGTTGTCACGTGTGGCGAGGACAGGTTCATTAAGGTCCGCTTTACTTCATTATCTCCTTGATTTTGATGAGACTGCTTAAGTAGGATACAATTTATTGAAGTTCAAACAATTGCAGGTATGGGATGCAGTTACAGGGACTAAGCAGTTTACTTTTGAGGGCCATGAAGCACCTGTATATTCAATATGCCCTCATCACAAGGAAAATATCCAGGTAATGGACTTTAAGATGCAACTTAATTCATCATCATCTGTTTGATGTGCTCTTTTCTTCATGGAAAAAAGTAGTTTATTATTTACTGGGATTAACGAACAAACAGTTGTGTTTCTTGTTTCCTCTGAATCTCTTAAATTTGATACTGTATGTGGAACATAATGATAATACTAGTGGCTCATGGGACTCCTAGTGTTGCTATGGTTTGTGACTTTGGTTAAATTTAGCATTATACCTGAGTTATTGCTCAGTCTCGTTAAAATTGTTTCATCCCTAGGAAAAATGTGTGGTCTCCTACTCTGTTATAAGTAGTTTTCTTTTGGATATTTTTCCTTGAATTTCTTAATTTAATATTTTTGCTGTTTTGCAGATTGTGTGGTTATATAACTATAGTGCTCAAGAGTTTAATGTTTTCCTTTCTCTTCTGTTTCTCAGTTTCTCTTCTCGACAGCAACTGATGGGAAAATAAAAGCATGGCTATATGATAACATGGGCTCAAGAGTGGACTACGATGCACCTGGTCATTCGTCTACAATGATGGCATATAGTGCTGATGGAACAAGGTTCATACATGTTTCATGCATCTTATGGTTCTGATTTTTCTTTTCTGGGTGATGGGAAGTTGATTTCTGGTACTATGTCATTGTTAACTGAATTGTTTATCTCATGATGATATTGAAGGTTGTTTTCATGTGGGACAAACAAAGAAGGAGAATCATACTTAGTGGAATGGAATGAAAGTGAAGGAGCTGTCAAGCGTACTTACCAAGGTCTTGGGAAGCGATCTGTGGGGATTGTGCAATTTGATACCACTAAAAATAGGTTTTTGGCTGCTGGGGATGAGTTTACAATCAAATTCTGGGACATGGACAATCTTAATCTGTTGACGACTATTGATGCAGATGGTGGATTACCTGTAATTATTTCACTTCTACAACCCTGTCTTATATTAGCTGATGCAATCATGCCTACCAACTAATTATCCTCATGAAAATCTGCAGGCCTCACCTTGTATTAGATTTAACAAAGAAGGAATTCTGTTAGCTGTGTCAACTAATGACAGCAACGTTAAAATTCTAGCAAATGGTGATGGTCTTAGATTGCTACGAACAGTGGAGAATCGTGCATTTGATGCTTCTAGAGTTGCTGCTCCAGCTGTTCTGAAGGTATGATAGAACCCTCTTAATTGACAGATTTGTGTGTAATTTTTTTTGTAAATGCATTAATTTTTTTTTTTCTGTAAATGAATAACATAGATACAGGCCCCTACTATAGCCACATTTGGTTCAGCAAATGCAAGTGTTGTAACAAGCATTGGGGATCGAGCTGCCCCTTCGGCTGCAGCAGCAATGGTTGGAATGGTGAGTGTCGATTTCTTTTCCATGGATAATCTTGAATCTGTACTTTGACTTAATCTATTTTTGTTCATATTTTTAAATTTAGGTCAGACTTAATGTTTCCTCAGATAGTAATGCAAATTCTTTATTGCATACAGTTGGCAATAGACATGAAAAAGATATTTTATATTTTTAATGATTTATTTTCTTTCACTTTGAGTTTCTGTAGAGCAGTGATAATAGAAGTTTGGCTGATGTAAAACCCAAAATTGCTGACGAGTCAATGGAAAAATCAAGGATCTGGAAACTGACAGAAATTAATGAACAATCACAGTGCCGGTCCCTTAGGCTTCCGGATAATTTAACAGCAATGAGGGTACACTCTACTTTGCAATCTTATTGGAATTAATTACTGTACCATCTCTAGTGTAAATCCTTTTTTAAAATGTTTTTCACTATTTTGCACTTCCATATCACTTTTCTCCTTTCACTTCTTCAGTTCTATCCAGTTTTATGGTGTGTATGAATGTCAGCAAGTCTGTATTCTTTTTTTTTTTTTTGGTATTCTCACTCCATTTGCCAATAGGAAGATACTAGCCAGTGTGGAATTTATCTGAGATCAAAATGTTAATCTCCTAAAATAAAGATATATAATCAAGGTTGAGATGATTTAAATTTTGAATTTCTCCATCAAATATGCTTAACTTTTCTAAATAAAATTTGAGATATATTACAGCCATGTTCAGGCACATGCTTCTGAAGTCTTGTGTGTGTTTATGGATAAATTCTTTATTATGGCTTCACCTAAAGTTAATAGAATGCTTGGAAGATTCATTTTCAGCAATTTTCTCGTCTCATTTTTAATTTAAATGTTTATTATCCTGAAATTAGAGCATGCGTGCTCATATATTTATTCACCTACATCTGTGGACAAAAACTTTTGAAGGAATGGAGTTAGGTGTTTTCTTTATTTGGGGCGATCCTGAATAGTATTAAAACCTCGTGTTCTCTTATAAATGAAAGAAAACATAAATATAATTATAAAAATTTAAAAGGTTGTACGGAGTTCTTTTGTTAGGAATGAACAATTAAAAAAACAATTCTTCTCTTCACCAAGAAAAAAACGATAGTATTATGTGTAACAATTTAAAAAGTCATAATACTGATAAGTGTTGTATAACAGTAAAAGGAAATCAATGTATGTAAACTTAAGAGTTTAGAAATAAAGTGTATTATTTTGTATTACTTGATTCGGTGGCCCATGGAATTAAAAGAATAAAAAAATTGTGTTATTTGGGATCATAAATGGTTGGGTGGAGTGTGATAAGTAGCAAAATTAATGGACCAAAACTTAAAAATAAAGGCGAATTTAATGGAAAATAAATTGTCAGTGGGGTCAACAGCCCCTACTTTCCATACAATTGCTCCTCATTGATCTCTTGTACATGTGCATGTGTGTATATCTGTTCTTTCTGAATAGCTGTATCATATATTTGCTTATTTGCATTTAAAGAAGTTAATGATGCTCTATCAGTTAACATAGAGAGTTTTAATGCCTTAAATAGAAAGAAATAAGTTGATTTGGCTGTTAAATATTGGGTCACTTTTGCGAAAGAGGATTTTATCGGTGCTGCTGATTGAGATTGACGTACCTGTGTACTCTTGTATATATGTGCACAAAAAGTGATGCGGCAGGAAAGGATTGATTTTATTTTGAAATCTAAGAACTGGGAGAGGCTTATATATGTTGTTCAGTAGTTGGTTTGTTGCGTCTTGAAATTCCTGACACATTTGCCACTTGCAACTTCAATTTTTTTCCTTGTATGATATGTTCTTGGAGTACCAAATTGTGGATTTATATTATAATCTTATTAGTTGGTTATTGCATTTGAAATGTCTTAATACTTGCCACTCGCAACTTGAATGTATTTGCCTATAATGATATGTTCTTGAATTAACAGTTATATTGTATATATTACCATTCCAGGTTTCTAGGTTAATTTACACGAATTCAGGATTTGCCATATTGGCATTAGCGTCTAATGCCGTGCACAAGCTCTGGAAATGGCAAAGGAATGATCGAAATGGAACTGGAAAGGTATTACATTTACTTTATTCTTCGAAATTCGTGCCTTTGAAGATTATTTTTCTACTCTTGTGATAATATCATTTATCTTGCAATTAACTAAGCTTTTGCCTCTTTAGGCTACTACTAGTGCAGTACCACAATTGTGGCAACCTCCAAGTGGAATATTGATGACTAATGATATAAGCGACACAAATCCTGAAGATGCTGTCCCATGCTTTGCCCTTTCAAAGAATGATTCTTATGTAATGTCTGCTTCAGGGGGAAAAATCTCTCTATTTAATATGATGACATTTAAGGTATAATGCCTTTCTTCTTTTTTAGTTTTATGTATGTTTACATCATTGTCACCTGCTCTGAAAATGAATCTTATAGAAAATTTGGAACACTTAGGATAACTCTAGCTCATTGCAAAGTAGATCTTGTTGATAAATGCCCATAATCATTTGCTTGCATCTTACATTGGTTTGATGTGTCACTATAGTGATTATATTTGTCTGGCGTCCAAAAAATGTAAAATAGCAATTAGCCACAAAAAGCAACACTAGAGTTTTTAATTGTGGCTATTGGGGTTCAATATGTATGATTGCATGGTCTCAGGTTTCATTATATAATGGATTTTAAAGCTACCACAGTAGACAGAACTGTTTAGAAATTTTGGACAAGTGGCCATTCATGACTCATGATGTTATTTGATAAGATTTTTATCGGGGAAAAGCTTTCAGCATAGCTGTTTTCATTTTTTTTTTCCATCTTTTGCTATACACAGACGATGACAACATTCATGCCCCCACCACCAGCAGCGACATTTCTGGCATTCCATCCTCAAGACAATAACATTATTGCAATTGGCATGGAAGACTCATCTATCCAGATCTATAATGTTCGGGTTGATGAGGTTGTACTCTGATTTAACTAAACCTTTATATAACTGTTGATGGAAAATTAATAATGTTTATCTGAAAACTGTGTGCTCTACTTAACAGGTTAAAACAAAGTTAAAAGGACACCAGAAAAGAATAACAGGCCTTGCATTCTCGCATACTCTAAATGTGCTGGTGTCTTCTGGAGCTGACTCTCAGGTGAGAAATAATTCTGTTGGTTTGCATTTGTGTGTAGCAGAGGCAGTTAAGTATTTATATAACTAAAGTTGCCTACTCTGTAAAGCTAAAAGTACAATTGTTCTCATTGATTAGCTTTTGTTTAGCTGTTATTTCCTGTTTAGATAGTTTAGTTAGAAAACAAGGAATGTCCTTGACTGGAAAATGTTATTGTAACTTGTATATAATTTGGAAGTATGAGTTTGTTACTCTGCTTGCTTCACACCTTTGCGCATGCTTTTGTATTTAGTTCTTCTATTATGAACAAAATAGACTTTCTTATTCTTCTTGTGATCAGTTCGCTACACAAAATATAAACTGTACAAATGCTGTTGGTAACTCATTGTTGATCCTTAATTTTTTATCTTTTTTTTTGCAACAGCTTTGTGTTTGGAGTACTGATGGATGGGAGAAGCAGACTAGTAAATTCTTGCAAATTCCAACAGGGCGAGCAGCATCACCCCTTGCAGATACCCGTGTTCAGTTTCACCTTGATCAGACACATCTGCTGGCAGTTCATGAAACACAGATAGCTATATATGAAGCACCTAAATTGGAATGCCTTAAGCAGGTGAGCTAGTTTATACATGTTGGTGGTCCTACTCTTGTGAGTAGAGTTATTCACTATTTTTGCTACCTCTGTGATTTGGGATTTAGTAAGTTGCTCTGCTGACACTTGTTAAATTTGCTTCTGGAACAGTTTGTCCCTCGGGAAGCAAGTGGTCCAATCACACATGCTACTTATTCTTGTGATAGCCAATCAATATATGTGGCCTTTGAAGATGGAAGTGTTGGTGTTCTCACTGCTCAATCTCTTAGATTGAGATGTCGAATTAATCCGGCTGCCTATCTAACTCCCAATCCAAGGTCTGTTTTGTATCTGTCATAAATTTTATTAAAATTGTGGATATCCCTTGATCTCACACACACGCACGCACACACACGCACGCACACACACGCACGCACACACACACACACGTGTGCACAGGCCACACTGACATCTTTTATATAGTTTGACTAACAATGCAACAATGTAAACAGTTTAAGAGTGTATCCGCTTGTGATTGCATCTCATCCATCCGACCCCAATCAGTTTGCATTAGGACTAACAGATGGTGGAGTCCATATACTTGAGCCGTTAGAGTCAGAAGGAAAATGGGGTACCTCTCCTCCAATTGAGAATGGTGCGGGGCCTAGCACCACTTCGGGTGCAGTCCTTCCAGAACAATCCCAAAGGTGACAAGTATATCGGCATATGTGCCTTTCACCAAAGACCTCAGAGTATATGCAATGCATGTCTTCCATGTGACCCCACTCCCTGGTCCCACCACTCTGATTTTCGAGGGGAAGCTGCGGAATTTTTGGTAAATCAGTTTTAGGATATTTCACCTCATTCTAGTAGAGCTCATTAAAAGTGGTATCACTATTATTTTCTGACCAAGGCATGGCGGTGATTGGTTTATACCTCATTTAGGATTTGATTGGAGAAGTATGGTGTTAATTTAGAGGCTAATGAATTTGGGATATGGGAGGTGGTGGGTCTGACTAGAAAACTGAACTGTATTGCCTGCCCTGGCTCTTTTTAGTCTTTACTTAGTTTGGAAAAAGATAGTTGTTCATTATTTTCATTATTTCTTACATTCGAGAATGCATAAATTATTGGGTTATTCATATTTACGCCTTAATTTGTGTCGTTCAAATTCCCTGCCCCGGTGTTAATATGACTTTCTTTTTCATAGTTGATTGTAATAAGAATTTACCCCTTTTCCTGTATGACATCGTCCACTACTTCCTATGGGGATGTTTAATGTGAAATTTTATTGAACCTGTAGTGGAGGATTTGCATTTCTGGCAATTGAAGGAAGTTTATTTACAGCGTATGATTTTGACTCTGTTTACTTCAAGGTCGCAGTTACAGAAATGTTTATCAATGTCTAGAACCACTAATAAATGATTAAGACTTAGTTAGGAGTCTTATAGAGGTCATGATAAGAAACGTCCTGAATTAAATATGTGGTTTTATAAATAATGAAAGAGATGTAGATATAAAGTTCTATTCCCCATTTTTTAAATTTCAAATCCCAAAAAAATATATTATAATTCGAATCAAGTAAGATATCATTAATGCTAGTTCACAAATTATTTAACAAAAAATCCAAAATCAATGACAAAAATTTTGCTTCTTGTTCAACATGCATGACTTAAACTGACAACTTTGCACAGAGTATATACCATATACAATACAATATGACATTCCTATTATTGTGAGAAATTGGATAGAGACTAGTTTCGCCTCCGACCTGACTTTTTGTGCCTTCGGTTGTTGGGTGAGGAAGATTGATCATAAGACACTGGCAAGACTGTTCCTCCTTTGATGCCATCTGAATCTGTGATGTGATCAAGAGTTTTCTGGGCTTCGAGGTACACTGTCAGATCCCTTATCTGCAACCATTTCATTAAATTGTCACAAAACTTCAATCCGTTACATACAGAAAATTTAGATAAACCACAGTACCTGGTCTTCCAGATCAAGTATCTTCTCATCTTTCAACCTTAGTGATGAAATTTCCCTGGAGAGAAGAAGAAATCATGATTCTCTCATTTAATTAAATAACAGAACAAACCATACAAATAAGAACACAACGAACCTCTCTTCAATTTCCTTAACCTTTTTCCGCCAAACTTCTTGATTTTTAATGAGATTTCTATTGATCTATCAACAGAAAAACACTGTCAGGAATAACATACTCTCATCTCACACATAGTAAAAACTTAAACTGAACCAAACCTCACCCAAACTATCGCATAACAAAATTTGAATGTAAGTGGCTAAAGTAAACAACTTACATCTGCAACAGCTTTCTTTGCCTCTTCACATTTGTCCAAATCATTTTGGATGTCCAACATCTTGGAAGCCACAGCCTTCTCTACTGCTTCTGAGATTGAACTGTCCCTTTTACTTTTGGCCTCTGCAAGTATAGATTCATAGTACTACAATAAAACAGAAATTAAAAAAATTAATAAAAATCTCCCAGATGAATAGAAAAAATGTGTCCAAAATTGAACTGCATGGTAAAGAACATAAGTTTTTTTATGAAAATTTTCCGCACACAAGCAAATCAAATTTGAAATTTCTCATTGTTTAAACATTTATGTCTTCTATAACAAAATCAGACATATAGATAATTCCGCAGGCTTTGATAGTTAGGATTGTCAAACAAGAAAACTCTCATTAGGAAATTGGCAGACTGCAATTTCTTTCTATTTTATTTTTATTTTTTTTAATAAAAAAAAAAAGAAATGAATATACCTAAATGAACAAACCATAAAAATGATTTCCCACCAAAGTAATAGATTAAACAAACAGGAGATTTGAGTATTTAAGATAGCATCTGGAATATAAGAGATTTCACAAACACAGAGTAAATATGACAGATCAACAGTCAAGCAAGAGGAGAGGAAAAAGGAAAAGAAAAAAAAAAAAGAGAGAGAGAGAGAAAGCAAGATAAGAGGGAGGAGGAGTAAGCAAGTTTGGAATTGATGTACTTACTTGTCTCTGAGTCTCCAGTTGAGTAGCAAGAAGGCGATTGTACTCATCTACAATCTACTCTCAAGGAAAAAAACCGTAGGTCAGCGCATTGCATTAGAAGACTAACATTGGTAAACTTGCTGATACACGAAACAGAGACACAAAGTGCCCTATTTACTTGTTTAGCTACAAAAAGTTTGCTTAAGTAAAACAGTCTATGTTGCATAAGAAATTTACAAGTACTGGTTCAAAAGATCTTTTATAGTAATCTTTTCAATAAGTTTTAAGTCATAAAAATTAAAATATCCACAAGTTCAAATTATAGTTATAATAGGAAAAACATACTGCTTCCACTTTGCTGTTAAAGAGGGCCCCACTAATTCCAGAATCCTCACTACACCCACAAGAACCACAATGTTCCTCAGGTGACATGCACCGAAAGTTCATCTCCCCCAACTTTCCATCAGCTTTAGACTGGTTCAGTCGATGAACATAACTGTCACCAACATAATCCCAAATTTGTTGTGTTCTTAAATCAAGAGAGTAGCAGTGCTGTGTATCTTTCCAGTGCCTAACAGCATGCCCCTCCTTATATCTAAGTTCAGAAAAAGAACAAGAATTATTAACAGTTCCAAACTTGGAAATTTTAACTCATAATATAGGCAATAATCTTAAGTTATATTGGCTTATAGTCTTCAGACATGAAATGCAAACAAAAAGACTACAATTAATATATTACCTTCCACATCCCACAAAACCACACATCAAACAAACCCAGAGATTCTCCACTGTTCCACAAACAGAACAAGTTGGTTTCTCATCCTGCTGCTGACAAAATCGACAAACCTGATGCACAAAAGAAGTTGAGTATCAAAAAAAGGGAAAAAAAGGAAAGAAGACACCTTGATTCAGAGTATTTCATGGTAAGCTGCAGGGAAAGGTGAAATCACAAATTTGGACATGAACCCACACTAATTGTTTACTGGCATGACAGAAGATGACATATCAGAATATTTGTAATCATGGTCCCATGTTCTTAATTTCTGTTTATATTAGCCCAAAATCTGTAGTAGTGTATAAAATAATAGAAAATTAGAAGCCAAAAGAATTGAGACAATTTCTCAAACTTATGACAATACAATTGAGCAGGAGCATTCCCGCAATTTTCAACATGATAATTGAACTTACTTTTAAGATCCATGGAAATGAAGTTAAGGTCTAATTTCGTTAAGCTCATTTGTCTTAAGTATACGGTTAGCAAAAGTGACCAGGAGATGTATGAGGCATCCATCACTTTTAAGACAAAGCAGGAATGGGAAGAGTTACGGATCTTGAACATTAGGCATTGGCAATTCAAAGTCCCACATTATTTCAATGGAAAAATTAACATAAAGACTGTGTGATATCCTAGGAAGACTATGTTTGAGGTTAAGAAAATACCTTGCAGAAAGTAAAATCAAATATTTATCAGTATGTACTTATTACACACCAGTAACATAATACCCTATGCCAGTCAAAATGATGAAATACTACATATATTCCAAAATGTTGGAGTTGGGGAACAGAGATATAGCTAACCTGGCAAGATAAGTAAGTCCATTTTGACGTGCATGAACATTGAAACGAATGGTCACAGATCGTACTAAGAATTCCGCTAGTGTCAGGATCTAGTCTCTCTAAAACATCAGAATAAATAGTATAAATCACCATCTTGCAAGAGAATTAGCAATCCACATAAACATAAAATGAAATATAATTTTAATCCAACATCTACTGTTAAAAGAAAAAAAAAGGCAAGTGACCCACCAAGGCAAATTGGACAAGAGGGTAGCTCAGTGAATCCCAGTGGTGGAGTGCTAGCAATCTCAGCAAATTCAGTGTACTCCACAGAAAGCATATATAGCATGTGGCATACCTCAGCCTAAAATTCATACATAGCAAGAATTTAATTCTAAATTAGACCAACCAAACATTTAAAGAAATCAGTATCAATGTAGCTGAATTACCTCGGCTGGTGAAAACCTCTTGCCATTGAATTTGTTGTAAAACCCATCAGCTGTAAACTCATCAGGAAGCTTGATCAATACACTGTATCGATCTTCCATCCCATCATTCCTGAAAATCAAACAACAAGCATAACAAAGATCTAAAATTAAAACTCAGAATTCTCAATTCTAATTAAATTAGACAAAATATAAAAATGGCGATAATGATTAGTTAATAAGTTAGTTACCTGATGAAAATGAGCTCGTCCACGTGGTCGACGTGGGAGCCGCAAAATCTGATAAAATCATCGTAAGAGAGGTAGTTGGGGACGGCGACGACGAAGAGGGAAGTGGATCCAGGGCTAGGGTTTGTTAGATAGCTCTGTGATGTGCCTCGAAACAGGTGGACCAATCCTCTCCTCTCGCTGAATTTAGGGTTAGGGTTAGGGTTAGGATTAGGATTGGGATTTGGTCGGGTGGTTGAGCTGGTGACGGTGGAAAAGCCGGTTTCTTCGGTGGTGATAGGATGATTGGCGTCCACTGAGTGGACTCGGAGGATGAACATTCTCGCTCTCACAGGCTTGGGCTAAGAATCGGTGAGTGGAAAGCGAGTTGACAGTTGACAAATGTTAATATTTCCGGGAAGGCGAGAGATGCCGTTACAAGTGCGATTCATATGTTTCGGAAAATATAATAAAATCCATGGTGTTTCGTAATTATTATTTTTCACCCTCAAGTTATATACATGTGTATATATATACACATGAATTCTGCTTTGTATTTTTTATTTTAAAATGAGTTCAAACTTACAAAAATTAATCACATTCATATTCCATATTCACCATATAAAAAATCATACAAATATATACCATTATTTTTTTTTATAACCGGGGGTGTTCTGGTCATATTACACGCATCTAAACTAATTCTCCAGTATCCTATAACTATCGGTAGGGTACAAACTCTAATGACTACCTACCTTTATTAGCAACCATAAGGATTCAAACTCTAAAAACACCTCTTTTGTTTTTTCACTATCGGGTCATCCAGTGATTATTAAAACTATATTATATTAAGTTTCAAATTGAATTCTTTGTGCCTTGTTAATATATAATAAAATAATTTTTGTTATACTTATGGATTAAATTATTTTAATTTGGTTTAGAGAAAATAATTTATATTATTTGATTCAATAATTATATATATTTTTTGAAATAATCATAATTGATTTGACAATTAACATAGGGAAATAGTAACAACACTCTTTTTGTGATTCTCGGATTCTTATCTTCAACAAAGAAAATTTCTGATTGACATATAATTTATTCTTTTGTTTAGTTGATTTTTCATTTTGCATCATATAATCTGGTTATAAAATTAATCTAATTTCCATGTTTTAGAAGGTAGAGCTGTTGAGTGTGAGGTATAATTATAAGGGATAATTGAGAATGGTGTGTTGCTTACATATTAAGAAAATTGAATTTTGTTGGAGATAATTTGATAAGAAAAGCAACTAAAAATGGTAAAGTTTATCACTAGAAAAAGGATAATTATGATATGAAAATAGTAAATAAATAATTCCCCACCGTTACGCATGTCTTTACAAAAAGCTTCTAAAACGACTGCGTTTGTAGATGGTGATGGACTCTCCGCCTGTTAACGCGCTTTTGCAAACTTTTGTGACTGTCGCATCTTTCTTTGCCGCTCTCTTTAACTGCATTAACAATCCAGCACACCGACAAACATTTGCTACTTGTTTAGCTCTAAGATCCACTGCCTGTTCTCAGCTTATCCGATTCTACAGTCTTCATCTCCACCGTCGGTTTTAGTCACCCAAGTCAATCGATTCTCCATTTCTCCTTCAGATCCGCCAAGCCAAAAAGGTTGGTACAAACCAAACATTTCTTTTGATAAACGCTTAATTATTCTTCTTTGTATTGTAAAACTATGGCTCCAAGCACGATCCGTAAAGCGATCGGTGCAGTGAAAGATCAAACGAGTATAAGTTTGGCAAAAGTGGCTGGTAACATTGCACCAGAGCTTGAAGTTTTGATTGTTAAAGCCACTAGTCATGATGATGAACCGGCTGATGAGAAGTATATTAGGGAAATAGTTAGTATGACTTGTTATTCTAGAGGGTATGTTACTGCTTGTGTTGCTACTATATCAAAGAGACTGAGTAAAACCCATGATTGGATTGTGGCTGTGAAGGCACTCATGCTTGTGCACAGACTTTTATTAGATGGGCATTTTCTGTTTGGGGAGGAAATTGTGTATGCAACGAGGAGAGGGATGAGGGTTTTGAATATGTCAGATTTTAGAGATGAGGCGCATTCAAATTCGTGGGATCATGGTGGTTTTGTGAAGTTTTATGCTATGTACTTGGATGAGAAGGTGGAGTTTGATGTTTATGAGAAGAAAAAACGGGGTGGGGATGGGAAAATTGAGGAGAAGGATGATAGGTTTAAGGATGATTTTGATCATGGAATGGGGATGAGATCGAGATCTTATGGTGATGTGAATGAGTCAGTGAGAAGAGAGGAAAAAAAAGAGGCCACTCCTATGAGAGAAATGAGTCCTGAGAGGGTATTAGGGAGGTTGAATCAGTTGCTGAGGATCCTTGATAGGGTTTTGGCTTGTAGGCCAACAGGTGCAGCCAAGAATAGCAGGTTGGTGCTTGTTGCACTTTATTTGGTTGTGAAGGAGAGTTTTGGGTTATATATTGAGATATGTGAGGCATTGGGGGTATTGTTGGATAGATTTACTGAGATGGAGTATACAGACTGTGTTAAGGGTTTTGATACTTATGTTAGTGCAGCTAAGATGATTGATGAGCTTGTGGGATTTTATGGTTGGTGTAAGGACATAGGGATTGCAAGATCATCTGAGTTCCCAGAAGTGCAGAGGATTACTGATAAGCTTTTGGGGACGCTTGATGGTTTCTTGAAGGAGATGGCAAACAGACCAAAGAGTCCTGAGAGAATTAGGGAGGAGAAACCTTCTATTAAGGAAGAACCGGAACCAGATATTAATGAGGTTAAGGCTCTTCCTCCACCCGAGAGTTACACTCCTCCTCCACCACCTCCACCTGAGCCCCAACAAGCACCCAAACCTCAGCGTCAACAGGTAACAGAGGATTTGTTGAATTTGAAGGATGATGCAATTACAGCTGATGAGCAAGGCAACAAACTGGCTTTAGCTTTGTTCTCCGGGCCGCCAACTACGAATAAAAATGGTTCGTGGGAAGCATTCCCCTCAAATGGAGAGCCTGAGGTGACTTCTGCGTGGCAAACTCCAGCTGCTGAGAGCGGTAAGGCAGATTGGGAATTAGCTCTGGCAGAATCTGCAAGTAATCTATCAAAGCAGAAAGCTGCATATGCAGGTGGTTTTGATCCATTGTTGTTGAATGGCATGTATGATCAAGGGGCAGTGAGACAGCATGTGAATACCACTCAACTGAGTGGTGGAAGTGCAAGCAGTGTGACACTGCCTGTGCCAGGAAAGAGTTCTACTCCAGTGCTGGCACTGCCTGCCCCTGATGGGACTATCCAAAAGTTGGGGAATGAGGATCCATTTGCAGCATCCCTTACTGTGCCACCTCCTTCATATGTGCAGATGGCAGAAATGGAGAGGAAGCAGCAGTTTCTTGTGCAGGAACAGCAGCTCTGGCAGCAATATGGAAGGGATGGGATGCAAGGCCAAGTAGGTTTGAACAAGATTGCTGGTAACCCTGGCTATTATGGTCCTAATCCTCAATCAATGATGCCTTATGGAATGCCACAGGTCACTGGTATGGGGCAGCCTGGAGGGTATTACTATGCCCCCTATTGAGTAGGCTGTCTTTATGGAGGGCTGATGTTGCCTTTGCTGCACATTACTACATACTTCCCCCCATGGAAGGTTTTCCGTATCTTATAATGTTTTTTTCACCATTTTCTTTACTCTTGTGTACTTACCTGCATCCAATGGAGTAAAGCATGCAGGATTTGATATCGAATATAGTGAATGATGAGAATCTGTTACAGTTTCTCCAACGATTTATAATATTTATATACAGTTGTTAAACCACAAGTTTGTCCATCCCCTTCTTTTTCCAGCCTACATTGCTATTCAGATTATTGTGGATTGAGAGGTGCGTCTCTAATTTAGTTTGCTTGTGGAAACTAACGTTGTCAAGCAGGAATTTGGAGCTCTCTTTGCAGGAGTATAAAACATTTGTTTGAATGCGCCAAATTCTCTTGGCATGATAGGCTTACACCGTTAGATTAAAAATGAAAATGAGGTTTTTCCAACTGCCTGAGCTGACTAAGTCCTTTTGACTGGATTTTGTTCTAGTTAATCGTTTCTGACTAGTTCAACTTGGTTTGGCCAGAAGGTTTTGTGGTTTTAGACTGAGACAAAGCTTGGTTGCCTATAGATTTGGATGCTTGATAGTTATACATTAGAAGGGTATGCATTTTCAACATTTCTAGCGTAAAGCATCCGATTTTAGTCTGGATGGTGGTCATTCATGCCGTCCACCTAGTTGAGTGCAGATTGTCAAAAGCAAGCAATCAGTATCATGATAACACCTTTTAGGAGAAGCCTTGTGAGCAAATCACGCTGAAATCTTAATGACTAAACCTCCAAATTGCTTTCTCTTTAAGGTTATCCCATTAAACATGAAAGAATAATATTATACATATCAAATGATGTCCAATTTTTTTTTATCTTAAATGATATGCAGTCTTGTGGTATATTGATGTGCAAATTAATGTCTTATGTTGAGGCATATCATTTGGATANATCACGCTGAAATCTTAATGACTAAACCTCCAAATTGCTTTCTCTTTAAGGTTATCCCATTAAACATGAAAGAATAATATTATACATATCAAATGATGTCCAATTTTTTTTTATCTTAAATGATATGCAGTCTTGTGGTATATTGATGTGCAAATTAATGTCTTATGTTGAGGCATATCATTTGGATACAAAATTTAGGATTTTCTCAGCTTTTTTTTATGTTAAGTTTGTGTTTAAATAATATTTAATTATTTAAATAATGTTTAAATAATATTTAATTATTTAACCATCATTAGGTGACCAGCGATTAATTAAGATTTTTTAGTGTATTATTTAAAAGGTCCTGAGTTCGATCCATCTAAGTTGTTAATAGAGGTTGTTGTTGAGGTGATTAACTCGAATGTCAATTTTAAATCCTTAAAAGACTAATTAAGATGCGCGTAAACGGACCCAAACACTTTATCATAAAAAAAATATATATATTTATTTAATAATAATAATAATCTTATTATTATTATTTGGTATTATGGACTAGTAAATAATATGTTATTAACCTTGAAAAGATGATATTGTATAATGATATCGGATTATCTAGAATACGAAAGTTAGATTATGAACTAGTGGAAAAAAAATTCTCTCTTCTCACAAAAATCAAATACCCTGTAGAGGTTGGCATCATGAATAATTCTAGTTCCTGAATTTACTTGAATGTTGGTTCTTCTTATTCCCAAGTTCCAATAAACCCTAACAAGCCCCAAGGACCCATTTCGATATGTATTGTACATCCACATTCAAATTTACACTTCCTCTTTGACATCGGACATGTCAAACGTCGTTGTTCTCGACAACGGTGGCGGCCTGATAAAAGCCG